ATACCTCATGAACAAATATCATTCAAGAAAAGTTCTTATAAAAAAATCCTTACACAATAATAGTAAATCAAATCCAAAAACACATTACAAAATACAATATAATATGACCAAGTGGATTTGTCACAGGAATGCATGGTTGGTTAACATTCAAATATCAATTAAATTTGTCACATTAATAGAATAAGGGGTTGGGGGACTACGATAATCTCAACAGGTGCTGAAAGTTTTCACAAATCATGATTTAGAGGAAAAAACTCTCACGAAGTAGGAACAGAGGAAACGTCCTTAAACCTAATAAATATTATTTTTGAGAAGCTTACAATTAACGTTATACTTAATGCTTTCCCACTCAGATCACAAAAAAGGCTGGGATGTCCACTCTCACCACTGCTATTCGACATTATACTAGAGACTCTAGGCAGTTTAATAAAAGAAATAGAAATGAAAGGCATATAGAATTGACTTAAAGAAATAAAACTTCCTTGCAGACAACATAAGAGTATACAAAGAAAATTCTAAATAATCTAAAAATCAACAAAAACTACAGAGCTAAAAAGGGAATTTATCAATGTCATAGTTTACCTAGACCGAAACATAAAATTTGAAACCATGAAACGTCTAGGAAAAAAACAGAATATTTTTGTGAAGTTGAGCTACATAAAATTTCTTAGATGGGATATAAATCAGCAACCATAAAAAATTTAAGAGTTGGGGGCCGGCCAAGTGGCGCGTTGGTTAAGAACTGGCTTTGGACGCCAGAGGGCCCCGGTTCGGATCCCACATATGAGAGCCTGTGACACTGCCCTCTACAGCTAAGATGATGAACAACAGCTCGACCTTGAGCTGGGCTGCTGTGGGTCACCGGCAACGGCGTAGGCTGCAGGCCCCTGCTGCAGTGGGCTGCCATAAGCTACCGTGTGTAGCCAGCAGCCAGCGTGAGCAGCCAGCAGCCGCAGTGAGTGGCCGTCCAGAGACCGGCGACTGATCTGCCTCACCCGGGAAGAGCGCAATGATGGTGCCAACTTGGGCCAGTGAAGCAACATCCTCCACNCTCCACAACTAGACTGAAGAACAAAACGACAGCAACTTGTCTGTTCCCCTTCCCCTGAATCCCCAGCGCTGTTCCCCTTCCCCAACTCCCCAATAAAAAAATCTTAAAAAAAAAAAATTGAAGAGTTGGACTTTATCAAAATGCTTTAAAAAAAGATTTCTGTCTATCAAAAGACTGTTAAGAAAATGAATTAGCAAGCCAGAAATTAAGGAAAATATTCATAACAAATACCTGGCAAATAATACGAATATATATATGTATAATATATATATTTCATATGCACACTTACATATATCTGTATAATAGATATAAATATATAACATTATATTAGATAACATATGTAATATAATATACATATATCTATATAACTTCTACAACTAAATAAAACTTCTACAGCTAAATAAAAAAAACAACCCAATAAATAATGGGCAAAAGATCTGAACAGATATTTCACAAAAGACATATGCATACAAAAATTTACTCAACATTTAGTCACCAAGGAATAGCAAATGAAAACAAGAAGATACCATAACATACCCAAGCTTTTGTAAAGATGTAGAACACCCAGAACTTCTACACAGTGCTGGTGGAATTATAAAATATTATAACCACTCTGGAAAGAGTTCTAGCAGTTTCTTGAAAAGTTGAATGTATATTTAGCTTACAACCAGCAATTCCACTCTAAGATATTTACCTAAGAAAAATGAAAGCACATATCCACAAAACATCTTTTACAAACTTATACGTAGCAGTTTCATTCATAACAGCCAAAAACTGGTGGCCATTCAGACATCCACCAAGAGGTGAAAGGCTGAACAAACTGTGGGGTGCTCATACAATGGAATAATATTCAGCAATAGAAATGAACAGCCAAAATGAACAAAGCAAAAGTATTAAGCTGAGAGCAAAGCCTTCACACAAAAGTACACACTGCTTGATTCCACGTACAGGAAGTTCTAGAACAGGTAAAAACTAATCTTCAGTGATAGAAATCAGGATGGTAGGTATTTCTGGGAGGGCAGGATAGGAAGGGCACCATGAAGCTTTCTGGAGTTATTAAAATGCTTTGATAACAGCGTGGCTTCTATGGGCATATGTTTGTCAAAACTCATTGAGCCGTATCCTTAAGGTCTGTGCATTTCACTATATTTAAAGCTCAATTTTATGAAATCTTAGGTCTTAATTGTAGAAATTGATAAGATGATTTTAAAATAGAAATGCAGAGAACCTAGGAAAGCCAAATACTCTTGAAAAAAGAGTAAGATAATAAGGACTTACACTGCCAGATTTCAACACTTAACTATAAAGCCATGGTAATCAAGACATTGTGGTATTGGTAACAAAAGACACATTGATCAGTGGAAGAGTCCAGAAAGATCCACACTTATATAACCCATTGATTTTTTTTTTCAGTCAAGAAGCCTAAGAAATTCAATGGGAGAAAGAAAAGTTCTTTCAATAAATAGTACTACAACAAGTAGCTATCTATAAGGGGAAGAAGTGAGCTTCAACTACACACAAAAATTAATTCAACACAGATCACACATATCAGTATAAAAGCTTATAACAATAAAACTGCCAGAAGAAACCACAGTAGAATATCAGAAATGAGAAAGCATTAATCATTAGGGGAAATGTTGATACACTATAGAAAGGCACACTTGAAACCGATGTAATTTTATTAACCATTGTCACCAATAAATTACATTAGAAAAAAAATTTTTTTTAATTATGTAAAGACACCATTAAGAAAAAAAAAGTCAGGCAAAGACTAGGTGAAAATACTCACAAAACATGTATCGGATAACCCTTTGGATTTAAAATATACATATAGAACTCCTCAAACCTCAATCATAAAAAGACAACCCAATTTTTAAAATAAGTAAAAAGACAAACAGGCAGTTCACAAAAGAATACATGTGAATGGCCAATACACATATGGAAAAAGGGCTCAACACCTTTAGTCATCAGGAAAATGAAAATTAAAACAAAAATGAGATACAATTACACACATGCTATAATGTCTGACATTTAAAAGACTGACCAGGGCCGGCCGAGTGGCGCATTGGTTAAGAGCAGCAGGGCTGCTGGTTTGGATCCCACATGGGCCAGTGATGCTGTGCCCTCTACAGCTAAGATGGTGAACAACAGCTCGACCTGGAGCTGGGCTGCTGTGAGTCGCTGGCGACGGCGTAGGCTGCAGCCCCTGTGGCAGTGGGTTGCCATGGGCTACCGTGTGTAGCCAGCAGCCAGTGTGAGTGGCCAGCAGTCGCCATGAGCGGCCGTCCAGAAGCCGGTGACTGATCTGCCTCGCCCGGGAAGAGCGCAATGATGGTGCCAACTTGGGCCAGTGAAGCAACATCCTCCACAACTAGACTGAAGAACAAAAAGGACAGCAACTTTTCTGTTCCCTTTCTCCCAATTCCCCAATAAAAATCTTTAAAAAAAAAAAAAAAAAGTCTGACCACACCAAATGCAGGTAAAGATGAGGAGCAATGGGAACTCTCAGACAGGAATACCAGGAGTGCAAAATGGATCACCGCTTTGGAAATCTGTCTAGCAGTTTCTCATAAAGATAAACATTCACCTACCCTATCACCCAGCAATTCTACTTCCATATAGTTACCTGAGAGAAATGAAAACATGGCACAGTAAGACCTGTACAAGAATATTCGTATCAGCTATATTCATAATAACCAAAACCTAGAAATGACCCAACGTCCTTCAACAAGTAAATGATAAACAATTAAGTTATAATCATACAACAGAGTGTTACTCAGCAATAAAGAGGAATGAATAACTGATATATGCAACACCATGAATGAGCCTCAAAGATATTATGCTGGGGGAAAAAAAAACAAATACAAAAGAATACATCCTGCACAATTCGATTTATATGCAGTTCTAGAACAGGCAAAATTAATCTCTGTTGAAAGAAATCAGAGCAGTGCTTTCCTGAGGGCTGGGGGGAAGGAGGCGGCAGGACGGACTAGAAGGATCAGGAGGAATGTTTTGGGGTGATGGAAATGTTTTCCATCTTGACAGAGGTGTCAATTACATGGCCATATGCATTTGCAAAAACTCTTTAAACTGTACTCTTAAGATCTGTGCATTTTACTGTATCGTAATTAGATGTCGATTTAAAAAATAAGGAGCTAACATTTTTTAAAAGAGAAGAAATGGGGAAAAGTCATGTACAAGAGCCCGAGAAAATATCAGCACTCAGTGAAGTAGTGATTAATAACAGGTGGGCATCAATGAAAGGCACCAAATCATGGTGAAATAAAATGGGTTTTTGCTAACGATGATTCACTTTTTCAATGTTATCTATGATTGCTCCTTCCCTCTCCTTCCTTTTTAGACATGCTCGCTTGCAGAAACACACTAATTTTCTAGTAAGTTTACAACACTGTTGTTAAGTAGGTACAGTTTGTTGGTCAAACCACAAAGCCATAATCTGTCCTTACCACCTACCAGGCAGGACCTGTCACCTACCTGAGGCTCAGGTAGCCAAGAACAGGTAGGCCAATGCCTGACTGCTCAGCTGGCAGATGTAACACGAAACAACAAACACACCCACAGCATAGACCATACTCTGCTTCACCCTGAGCCCTTCTGCTCTTTATCTCAACAAGTTGGGCCTTTTGAATGCTTGGGGCTCCAGTTTTCCTGAAACTATCTTCAGAGACAACGAAGAAGCTTTCATCGACTTACTTGGTGGATGGCAAATCTAAGCGTTCAAAAACTAAATAACTAGAAAGTTAGTTTGAGTGCAGGGAATAAACCATTTTTCTCAGTGGTAAGATCGGTGGTCTCATCTTTCCCCAAGGCCCCCTTTTCTTGGGCCTGGAAATTATCAAAGCAGGGTCACAAAAAGAGCATTTAGTGAGGCGGCTCAAATCAGAGATAAAACTAACCATTTTTGCATAGTAACTCCCAAAAAACTTACCACGGAGAGGCCCGTATTTACAGGCGGAGAATGACTGGTCTCCGAGACACTGCCTTAGTGGGATTTGAACCCACACCCCTCACTGCTCTTTTATTCAGGGTGAAGCCAGTTGATTGAACACCACTGGTCATCAGAAGCGGTTGAGTCCTAGAGTAACAAGTGAGAGCATTAAAAGGCATAACGAGAGAACTAAGTGAGCTTCACAGTCCAGATTTTCTCACAGCAACTACAAGAGGATCATCCCAGGAGTTTACCTTCAAACACCCACAGCTGTCTGGGGCGCTGAGGCAAGTTAAGTAGAGTGGATGAGTCCCACCTGAATCCTTCCCACCCGCATCCAGCTGGAGAGTGTAGACCCCTTACCACCCAAAGTGTGGCCATGAGTCAGCAGCAGCAGCATGACCTGGAAGCTTGTAAGAAATATGGACTCTCGGATCCCACGTCAGGCCTACTGAATCAGAGTATGCATTTTTACAAAACCCAATGTGATTCATATGCACACTGAAATTTGAGAAACACCAGGGGAAGTTTGTTTTTATTTAACAAACACACACTTACATATAGTACTTATTATGTGCCAGGCACTGTTCTACGTGTTTTACAAACATTAATAGATTTAGTTCTCATAGCCACCTTCTGAATGTAGGTATTGTTGTCCCCTCCATTTCAATGAAGAAAAATATGGGGCACAGAGAAGTTAAGTGACTCGCCCAAGGTCACACAGGTAGTAAGTGGCAGAGCTGGGATTAAAACCCTAGAAGCCTACCTCCAGTGTCCATGCTCTTAACCACTTCATTACATGGTTGAAATGACTCCAAGGAGAAATACAGGATGTTTTTTACATTTTCCTGGGATCAATTTATATGTCTGGCCAGTTCATTCTACTGTGATTTAATAATGGACTTTAACACACTGGTTTTTCCACCCTAAAGGGTGCAACACTAGGGTATGCTCATTTTAGGTGCTCTCCCCAGAAGAATCTACACATATTACGCCTATATTCTATAAAAGTACTGTTTACCTAATTTTCCCATTGGGGGTTAGAGATCTTGGGACACATTTTCAGCTAGGCTTACTATTCTTAAGTATCCATCTTTACAAACCTGGAGGAATTCCTTTAACTAATAACATAATGACAGGAAGTGACTGAAACTACAATATGGAAAGCATTAAAATAGTTTAACATATGATTTATGTAAATAAATAAGCATCAAACAAACTACAACTAATAGCCAGCATCGCTTTTGTACATTTCTGGTATTAATCCAATTCCTCCCCGCAAAAACATGAGTGGAACCCTCAGGCACATGTAGCTCAGAAAAATGACCCTCAATCAGTATCAAGATGGTCCATGTCTCATAGAAGTGCATAACAGACCAATCACTTCTTATAAGAAGCTCTTTCTGTAAATCACAATAAAGGAATTTGTTAAACTTCTTAGTGTGGGATCTGCAAAATGCACACAGTCTTCCTGGATGGAGTTTCCTGTCTCTGAGTCTGTGCAATGGTGGATCTTAAGTGCAGACCTCAAGGGGCCACACTAACTTTTAGCACCAAGAACTCAACTCTTAGGATGTGTGTTACATGAAAAACTTTCCCTTGTCATGAGGGAAAGCTGTTCATGCTAGGCTTCCTTCCTGTGTTACTTTATGAAATGTCCCCTGGGTATTGCTGCTATTAGTATCTCATGTTCTCTTATGTTTAAGCAAAAGGCTCAGATAGCATTTTTGATTGACTAGATTATTCCCTAGAGAACATATTCTTTTTTTTATTTGAGCATAATTGACATGCAATATCCTATTAGTTTCAGGTACATCACAGTGATTCAACATTTATATAAACTGCAAAATGATCCCCCCATAAGTCTACTTACCATCTGTCACCATGCAAAGTTATTACAATATTATTGACTACATTCCCTACACTGCACACTACAACCCCATGAATTATTTATTTTACAACTCCAAGTTTGTTCCTCTTAATCCCTGTGACCTCTTTCACCTACCACCCCTGACCCCTCTCCCCTCTGGTAATCACCAGTTTGTTTCCTGTATCTATGAATCTGCTTCTGTTTTGTTTTGTTTGTTCATTTGTTTTGTTTTTTAGATTCTATGTATAAGTGAAATCATATAATATTTGTCTTTCTCTGACTTATTTCACTTAGCATAACACCCTCTAGGTCCATCCATGTTGTTGCAAATGCCAAGATTTCATTCTTTTATATAGCTAATATTCCACTGTGTATATGTATGTATGTATGTATGTGTGTGTGTGTGTGTGTGTATGTGTATATATATATAAAATATATCACATCTTATTTATCCATTCATCTATCAATGGACACCTAGGTTGCTTTAATATCATGGCTATTGTAAATAATGCTACAAAATTTGTTCTTGCCTAAGAACAAAGTTTGACCACAACCAATGGCCTCACTCCAAGTATGCTTTTATCCTCAAACTGGCATTTATATTGATAGTTCCTAAAATTCTCTGAAACAAGCTTTCTGAGAGGCAATCTGGTGTAAGGCAGTGATTTAACACTTTGCAAACCTGTTTGAATGGCCTGGAGCACTTTTTAAAAACACCAATATCTACACCCCACCCCTGAGATTCTGATGTAATTGGCCTGGGTGGAGCCTGAACTTTGAATTGCTATAACAACCCCGGGCACTGTAAGGATTAAACATGATACTGAATGCGAGACACCAGACACAGTGATCAGCACAGCTATTTACTTGATAAATGCCACCCATGCCTTCCTAGCTTCTTCTGAAACAAAGGGGTGCCTAAAATATGATTGTCCTTCAGGAGGCTCAGCAGAGCCCATTGGAGCAACTCATTCAAGGAGAAGATGATAGCAGAGGGAGGAGTAGCCGCTGACAGGGGACCGGGACACAGAAAGATTTTGTTTTAATGCAGGGCAAAAGGTCAGGAGAATGAAGAAAGAAAAAGGCAGATTTAGCAAAATCTGATTACCAGGCAATTTTTAAAAGGGTCACTGCCAACACTGTGCTATTGCATGGAGTCTATTTTATTCAGAAAAATTGAGGGTAGCGGAAGTGAGTAAGAGGCTCCATTTAGCTTATTATCTCTATTTAAATTGAAAGGTCAAGGCTGAAGTTGGAGGGCAGGAAAGAGGGGCTAATGGAAGTTAGGGAATCTTCCTGGGAGGGAGCAGAAGAGCCACGTTCCTCTCAGGTGTTAGCCAGGGTCCTGTCCTCCCTACACATCTCTTAAAAAATAAAATTAAGGGGCCGGCCGAGTGGCGCGATGGTTAAGAACTGGCTTGGGACGCCAGAAGGCCCCGGTTCGGATCCCACATATGAGGGCCAGAGACACTGCCCTCTACAGCTAAGATGCTGAACAACAGCTCAACCTGGAGCTGGGCTGCCGTGAGTCGCCGGCGACGGCGTAGGCTGCAGCAGCCCCTGTGGCAGTGGGTTGCCATGGGCTACCGTGTGTAGCCAGCAGCCAGCGTGAGCAGCCAGCAGCCGCAGTGAGTGGCCGTCCAGAAGCCGGCGACTGATCTGCCTCACCCGGGAAGAGCGCAATGATGGTGCCAACTTGGACCAGTGAAGCAATGTCCTCCACAACTAGACTGAAGACCAAAACGACAGCAACTTGTCTGTTCCCCTTCCCCAATTCCCCAGCGCTGTTCCCATCCCCTCAATTCCCCAATAAAAATCTTTAAAAAAAAAAATTAAGTAAAATAAAATACGGAACCGACACATGACAAGCAATTTCATCATCATTACTTTAAATTCTTTCAACAGTAAACACTGTCAGGTAGCTAGTCATTCATTTGGTCAACATATATTTGCTGAGCAGCTACTATGTGCCAATCCCCATGCGAATACTCAGATTCTACAAGTGATGCACTGAAGCTCAGTAACTCATCTAAGAAGAATAAATCACAGAGCTGGGGCTTGATCTGAGGTGTGACTCCAAATAACATTTAGAGATGACAAGGTCCCCACCCATAGCTGGGAATGTGGAAGATGTGATAGCCCTGGTTTACAGCTCTTACTTATGTCTGATACACCCTTCCTCTGCACCAACCCCAGAAAGTTTTCTCCTGTCTTCCTTCATACTGCACTTCAACGATCAGCTAGTAAATCCCCTTCTTCCAGAGGCCTTTCCTGACCCCACATGAGCTGACTCTCCATTTGTAGACCACTGGCAGCTTGGGCATGCCTCTGTCATGGCAAAATTACACTGCATAATAATTATTTACTTTCATATCTTCTGCACTGGACCATGAAATCCTCAAAGACAGGGGTTACTCATGATTCATATTCGTATTCATAGGACCTGGCATAATGCCTGATGGAAGGAAGGGAGGGTGGGAGGGAGGAATTCAGCAGTCTTTTCAAAAGAAGTGAGAAATTAATCTGGATATGAGATTTGCATCAACATGGGAGGGAGTGAATGCGTGCTTTCCCTTGCTGAGAAATCAGTTCAAGGAAAATCACAAGGAAAGGAATACGGGGTTGTGTGGGGAGTCTATCAGAGCTACGGCCTGGCTTGGAGGGAAGGTTTCAGGCTGAGCAGCGGAGTGATAAGGTCCGAGGATATCTTGCAGGACTGACAAACAGCCAGCCATGGGACAGGTATCAACTGAACACCTACTACAAGCCAGGTATTCTGCTCGGCAGAGCAACTGAGGCCAGCACAAGCCCTGCTGTCATGGAGCTCTCAGTCCCACAGACTAAACCTGTTCTGAGAGACAAAAAGGAATCAATTAAGGACTTCACCCAGGGAGTGATGCAATTTAAGTGGAGTCTGAGGGACATTTATCTTGTTCAAAGTGAAGGATGATCTGGAATGAGGGAGAGTGGGAGGAAAGAGAGAAAAGAAGGGAAGAAAATGATGCGAAGTTATAAATTAGACTCTTAACTCTGTGATGGCCAAGTTGTATTCTGTATCGCTCAGTCTCGAGTCTGTCTGATTCACCAATGTACCCCCCCCCAGCACCCAGAAAGTGCTGGGAATGACAGGTGCTCAAGAAATATTCATGGACTGGATGGCATGGGAGGGGAGGGGAGGGGAGGGGAGGGATGAATTGAAGTGACTTGAGGGAGGGCAGTAGAAGAGCCCTGAACTGGGTGTCATGGCCACTAGTGTCCAGTCCTTCCTGGCTCTGCT